CTTTTACAAAATTAAAAAGAATACCTATTGACGAACCTCCTCATTAGTTGTAGATTTATCCATATTATATTAGTAAAATTTGTTTGCTTTTGAATTAAAAAATAAAATACAATGGCTAAGCTAATCTTACTCACACCACAAAAAATTAAAGTTTTAGAGACTAAAATTTAGGGATAAAATTAATTTTTAGGGACCAAATAATTTTGTTACGAAAAGTATTGTTATTATATTTTTGGCAACAAAAATTGGACATTAGTAATAAATCATTATCCTTTTGGAATCAAATTTTTTGTTTCAAAAAATAAATCATTTTGAGATTAAATTATTGTCCCTAAAAGTCTATTTATTAGTGACATTTTAAAAATTTTGTTGCTAAAAGCTTTGTTTTTTATTTTTTGAGACGACATTTTAGCGACTATTCTCATGACAATGGAAATTGGTTCTTAAATATCTTTTACAACAAAATTTTTACTCTTAGAGACCAAAATATTTAGTTTTTAAAACTCTTATATGTTGTAGTGTCAATTTTATGGCAAATTTATTACTTTTGATTTTTAAATAAATAAACAGCACCTATTAGACGTCATTTTTTAAAATTACTAATACAAATTTTTACTATTACAAATTCTTAAAAAAATTTAAAACATATATATTGATTTTGATTTTTGATTTAAAAAAAAATACTACTAAATTTGCTTTTTGTGGCTAAAAATAAAAATAATAATAATAATTAAAAAAAAAACTATTTTTATGAGCATTATAAAATCAGAAAAGGTATTAAATTATTTGTCAATTAAACTCTTACTTTTTTCTAATTTTATACAACTCTTAAATATAAATTAGAGACATGGTAGTTGGCCTAATGGTTCATGTAATTGTTCATGTGACTTGTGTCTTTCGTTGTAATTTAATTTACTACTCCTAACATCCTATCGTATAACAAATATATATATATATATATATAATTTTAATTATCACACGGTGATACTTTTAAAAAATGATTACAATTTCATGTTAAAAATTATAATTTTAATAATTAACAGGGTAAAATCTATTTTACCTTATTGTAGTATTGTCTTGGAGTATTTAACCTCCCTTACATTTGAAAATAGCTAAAACCTCTCTTACGTTTTAAACTAAACAGTAATACTAACGTTGTTAATAATAAATGTAAAATGATGTTAATGCCCATTTACCTTCTTTATTTTCATTCTCTCTGCTATTACAATTCCGGTTTTGACCCGTTATCTATTGTATTCTAGATTCGAGTTGGTATGATTTAGCAACCTACCATCTCCAATCTCTGCAAGCAAGTAAGGTTATAGATACTATCTGGTAAGGTACACAAATTATTTGCTCCAATATCCAAATATGTTAATGAGATCAATCTCTCCATTTCACCAAGCATATTTGATAAATTGCAGCCTAGCATTTTCAATTCTTGTAAGCAAGTAAGGTTACAGATACTATTCGGTAAGGTACATAAATTATTTCCTATGAGATCCAAATGTGTTAATGAGATCAAACTCCCAATTTCATTGGGCAAATGTGACAGATTGCAGTCTTGCATATCTAGCCTCTCCAAGCAAATAAAATGCTTTATTAGAAGCATATTAATTTGCTCCTTGTAAAATTCAATGCGCTAGTTGGGCGCATCTGCGCTAGTTGGGCGCATTAAGAATGAACGCAAATTGGTCACCAAAAATATCTTTAGAGAGGTTATTGCGCAAGAGATAGTGATCTTAAATCATTTCATGTGAGGCGCACATGGTGGATTCCGTCATTAAAATTTGATTTTGAATCCTTATCCAAATAAGGTTTTGAATTAAATTCAAACCTATTTAGGATAACCACTCTTGAAACAGACGTTATCAGTTTGAACTGATATAGATAGATATAATATATTAGATATTATCTGTATCTTAACTGATATGGATAGATATTATAATATATTAAATATTTGTTATATGGTTATGGGTAATCCAAGAGAAACAACGTTGAGTCTGTTTCAACCCATATTCTGACTCTCTCCCAAGAAACAACGATCAAGTCATTTTGCACTGTGGTTTGTGTGGGTGATATTCACCATTGTAATATCACCCCACTGTTGGGATTGATTGATTAGATTCTGGAAGCACGTGATTTATCCATGAGGTTTTAGATCGAATCAGGTATGATCTAAACATTTTATTCCGCTGCAAGTTTTGTGATCTTTGATTTACAATCAAATTTAACAAAAAAAAAATTATGAAAATATTACAACCAAAATAAAACAAAATCAAATTTAGTTAATTTGCAGATTTTTTTTTAAAAAAAAAAAAAATGCTTTTGGGCTAACAATTAACTTTGTTAATTTTTAGATTTACAATAACACCAATTACCTAACTTTTTAAAAATCTTATCCGGATACAACTATATCAAAACTATGCGCTAAATTTGAAAAATCAAAAGCTAAATTTGTTTATTTTAACTTTTACAAAATTAAAAAGAATACTGATTGACGAACCTCATTAGTTGTAGATTTATCCAAAATTATATTAGTAAAATTTGTTTGCTTTTGAATTAAAAAATAAAATACAATGGCTAAGCTAATCTTACTCACCGCAAAAAATTAAAGTTTTAGAGACCAAAATTTAAGAACAAAATTAATTTTTAGGGACCAAATAATTTTGTTACGAAAAGTATCGTTATTATATTTTTGGCAACAAAAATTGGACATTAGTAATGAATCATTATCCTTTTGGAACCAAATTTTTTGTCTCAAAAAATAAACCATTTTGAGATTAAATTATTGTCCCTAAAAGTCTATTTATTAGTGACATTTTAAAAATTTTGTTGCTAAAAGCTTTGTTTTTGATTTTTTGAGACGACCTTTTAGCGACTATTCTCATGACAATGGAAATTGGTCCTTAAATATCTTTTACAACAAAATTTTCACTTTTAAAGACCAAAATATTTAGTTTTTAAAACTCTTATATGTTGTAGTGTCAATTTTATGGCAAATTTGTTACTTTTGATTTTTAAATAAATAAACAACACCTATTAGACGTCATTTTTTAAAATTATTACATAATTACAATCTTATAAAATCTATTTACTATTACAACTTTTAAAAAAAATTTAAAACATATATATTGATTTTGGTTTTTGATTTAAAAAAAATACTACTAAATTTGTTTTTAGTGGCTAAAAATAAAAAAAATAATAATAATTAAAAAAAAAATATTTTTATGAGCATTATAAAATCAGAAAAGGTATTAAATTATTTGTCAAGTAAACTCTTACTTTTTTCTAATTTTATACAACTCTTAAATATAAATTAGAGACATGGTAATCGGTCTAATGGTTCATGTATGTGACTTGAGTCTTTTGTTGTAATCTAATTTACTAACTCCTGACATCCTTATCATTTGCCTAAAAAAAATATATATATATATATATAATTTTTATTTAGGAAGGAAAATACGATAAGAATTATGAATAATTGGTGAAAAGTCTATACATTATTTGGTTCAAGATTTGATCTTTTTGGTGAAGAAGACAAATTTAATGAAATTGTTCGGTGGGAATTATTTATGATAAGTCAAATTTTTTTAATTGATCAAAATCAAAATGGACAAAATTTTCAAAACTCCTACTAAAATATTAGAATTTAACTCATTTAAATTATGTGTCATACCCAGAGCAAATGGTCAATCAGTTTTGACGGTTGAATCAAGTGGTTGGTTGAGTCAACCTAAAGATGCAGAAAACAATGACACTAGTTTGAATCTTCCGATAAGTGAGATAATGGAGGAGTATTTAAATTTAAATTCAAAATCAAATTATTTCTATAAAATAAGAGACAATTTTTTCTCATTTTAAAAATTGCAATCAAATTAAATATTGATCTATAGGATTTTCAAAATTAGCACCCCACCATCAAAGTCTATAAGTGTGGACCCTTATTCACGGAAAAAGCAATAAAAAAAAAATAACCTCGAACTAAAGACTTTGCAGCAGTTTTGAAGCATTCTTCACAAGTTCTCAAGGTTTCAATCATCTTTCAAGAGGCATAGAAGATCACCAAGCATGTCGACGACATGTCGCATTTCTTACATGTTCAAGCATCAAACCCGCTGAAAGACTGGTTCATTGTTTGTTCAAAATCAAGTTGTTAAAGCTTTCGATCAAGTTTCTCTCGTCAAGCTTCTTTGTGTGAAGATTTGAAGAAATTCATCAATTGATTTGATAAAACAAAAAATTTCTGCAACCGTTGGATTGCAACCATATCAAGAGATTGAATCAAAAGATCACCATTGTAATTGCACTAAAAGAAATCAGCTTTTTAGGGACGAATTTATTCCGTCCCTAAAAGTATAATATTTGTTGGGAAAAACTTTAGCCAACTAATTTTTTTCGTTGCGAAGTTTGTCCCAAATGACTCGTCCAGAAAAGTCAAAAAATGACTTTTTTAGAGACAAATATGTGGTTGCAAAAAATTTTGATTTTGAGACAACTAAAATTTGTCTCTAAAAGTCTAACCACAGCCCAAAGAAAAACAAAAAAATTAATTTTTGAGACAACAGGAATTTATCTTTAAAAGTTTTAGTTTTTGGGACAAATGAAAGTGGTCTCTAAAAGTTTTAGTTTTTGGGACAAACGAAAGTTGTGTGTAAAGGTTATAATTTTTTTGAGACAACTAAAATTGGTCTCTAAAAGTTTGATAATTTTTATTTTTATTTTATTTATTTATTTTTATTTTTTTTTTTGGCTTTTTGATTTTGTAACAATTACTCTAAAAATACTACTAGTTTGAACATCAACTTAACTTTCTTGATTTCTCAACAACCAAACAGAAAATATCAAACATATCACCAGACTATCTGTTCATCTCCAAATTAAAATTCAACTACACAGAAAAAAAATAAAAAATAAAAAATAAAAAAATTGCTCATCACATTCAAAGAGGCTTAATCAAAAGATATTTCAATAACAAACAAATGCCATGCTCTGATTCATTAGTATGTAATATCCTGATTGTATATATAGAGATTTCAAAAGTACCATTTCCAATATGTAAGGCTAGCGCCATATGCATTGTTTGTAACATTCAACTATTCAATGAATAGATTGTAATTTGAATTATATCTACGGACATAGCAAAACAACTCAACTCATCACATCTTCTTCTCCAGGGTTTCATTGAAATGGCATTCAAAATCATCAGAACAAGTTATCAGGTAAGGCTTATCACCACCTGTGAAGTAATCAACACAATTTACCCCTTTCAAATGGGCATCCACTGTAAAATTTGGGTCAGGGGAGCCAAGATTCCAAACCCGGAAAGAGAGTTAAGAAAGAAAAAAAAAGTTCCAATGCATGACTATCATTTGTACTCAATTATACAAAAAATTGTGGTTAACAAGTTAGAAATAGACAATTCAATCCATACCTTTATAGTGCGATCAAGAGATGCACTAGCAAATGTGTTGGTATCTTTTGGATTAAATGTCACTTGCATAACATAATGGGAATGACCCTCAAAAATTTGAGTACACACCCAGCCCTTCTCCCAATCCCAAAGCTTTATAAGCATGTCATCAGATGAAGACAGCACATATGGAAGGGTAGGATGAACAACCACACACCTAATATAATCAGTGTGTGCGTCGAACACTTTGACCTTATCCATTGTATTGTAATTGCATACACGAATAAATGTATCATTAGCAGCAACAACAACCCGTTGTTTGCATGCAATGAACTTTGCAGATCTAATTGCACACCCATTAAGTAGATATCAGCACAGAATAACCCCCATCAACACGAGAATGCAAGAAAATTGTACCAACTGACCAATTAAATAGGTAATGTAAAATAATAATTATGTACCTGGTAACTCAATAACCTCAAAAGACTTCACCATAATCTATAATAGTAGAAAATGAAATTTTAGTTAGCATCACATGCTTGAGTAATCACCATAAGGATAAAAAAGTAATCATGATCAGTTTATGATAATAAAAGACTTCATCTTGTTTCTTATTCTTTAGAACATCCCTAATATACCAATGACACTAATATCTTTTAGAAGGCAAGAAATAACAGATAATTCAGAAGAGCTTCAAAATGAAAACAGGACACCAGTGATAACTTGGTCTAGGGGGACACAGTAACACATAAGGCCTTCAAAACCATTGATATGTGAAAAGAGCTCTCTATTCTTGTGATATTCTCATAAAGGAATAGAAATGTTCAGAAACTAACTATGTGCCATAGAAGTTGATTATTTCTAAGGCAAATAATATAAAACGAAACTGAGTTCAAGTGTTCGTTACTATTTTTTTTTTTTTTTTTTTTTTTTAAATCAAGATTGGCTTCATTTCATTGCAAGAGTTGGTATACCACCCCTACAAAGTTAAATACCCACAAAATGTGATCACTTCTATTCGCAAAAGAATTCTTGATAAAAATGCCAAAGTCTCCCATGCAATACAATGATATTACAGAAAGTAGGTCCCCTAGGTATTTTCTTTAGAAGACAAAAATTAAAAATGTTACAAAAATTATATAAAATGAACGTATTTCTATAAGACAATACAATGAATCCCCAAAAATGCCTATCAGTAACATTGTGCAGAATAAAATTAAAAAAGAAAAAGAATAAAAAAATGTACAAGCACACATTTGAAAATATACAATAATAAAAAGACACCACAGAAAACAAAAAAGCATTGTATCACAAGAAGCATGGCATTGTGAGGCCTGAGAAGGTACTTATCATAATTCAGTTGGATGGTAACTAATGTTTCTTAGCTAACTTGCATAGTTGTTACATACCTGAGACTAGTAGTTCCAAATGCAAACAATTCCAGAATACAAACTTGCTAGAATCCTGCAAGGTGAAAGCATCACGTATCATCATCATGCATCACATAAAAAAAAAGAAATAAACTTCCACAAAGATGAACAATCTCATAGCCTTAGACCCTGGGTTAGTTGCAAATAAAGTCAATGCCACTTAATTGCTAAGAAAAGGTGTTTGCTTGGGATACAAAACTTTTGTTTTCTTGGCAATTAGTAAGAAGGAACATGTAGGTACATTTTCTATTAAAATCCAAAAATTAGGTTGATTACATGAATAAAATAATAATTACCATGGCTCTGTTGGATGCAAATCCACAGATTTTACTTTTTCTGACCTTTGAGCAAGTTTTCTTTGATTAAACAATAATTGTCAACACGAAATTTCAAAAATTACACATAAAAGAAACAAAGATCCAATCCAAAACTGATTCAAAAAAAAAATCAAAAGTAACATGAATATTAATACCTTTATTTCCAGTCTGAGAGGCTGCAAAGAAACACACTAATTAGTTAGTACATGTTACAACGCTAGATCTCGAATAAATTCAAATCTTCAGCTGAGTCCAAGTACAAAATTCAAAAAATAAACACAATTGTGCAAAATTCAAGGCACTCGCAAGAATGTTGAGATATTCATATCGAATCATGTCAGATTTGAGCTAGATCTAATATATAAATCAAAATGTGAAAGAAATTAAGAGGACACCAGAACTGACAAGAAAATAGCTAAGTACAATAGGAAGAAGTACAACAGTTCTCATCTACAGCCTACTTAGGACATGACTTACATTACATTAAGCCAACTAGAGAAGACAGATCCACAGAGCCAGCCCCAAGAAATTGGGATTAAAATTTACTAAGTTAAGATGAGTATTACTCGTCCATGGCATGCTTAAATGAATAGCCCTTACAAGAGGGAATAAATCTCTTGCTTAGGACAGTCAACATAGCTTACAACATAAATGAAAAACCACTAAAAAGTTGTCAAAAGGAAGTGGTGACACCAGTTCTAAGAGACATAGTAGTAGCACACAGTTCAATTGTAAAAGGTTGAACTCATGGCAATCCAAATCCAAAAAATATAGCATTACCCCAAATGATTACAAACCCTTTTCCAAGAAGTTCAAATTCAAACCCACCCGCCCGCCATGGGTAGACATGTTGGTACCCTAACCTTAAGGAAGAATGGCAGATACTGTTCAGAAAATAAATAGATATCCATATGCTATTAGGTTCTTCAAGATAGAAAAGATCAAGAGAATAGACTACAATACTACAACATTTTCAACATAATGCTTTTTGCTTGCTTATTCGGATCAGTGAGTGGTTTTAGATTCCCTTAATTACACTTTCCTGTTTCCCATAGAATATGAGAAAAAAGAATAGCTTATAGCTAGAGCCTAATAGGCACAAGAGCACCATCACAAAATGTGGCTCCTTAAATAGAAATGATGACATTGAAACAAAAATATCAAGTCCAACTCAGCTATTTTCAAAGTACCTTCCAACTCTTCCTTGTCCACGCTAATTTCAAGTGATTTAGCATACAGGGAACTTTGAAAATGTTTAATCATAGAGAAAATCAAATTCAAATCTAACTTGTAATGAAAAGCATTATACAGATTGAAATTGTAATCAATATATAGAAATTATAATGAAATCAAAACATACATTCACAATGTATACTGTATTGAAATCAGAAAGTTGAGCTGAACGAAAACTATATAATTAGTTCTTTGCAAATTATACCCAAATCGAAAGAAGAATGAAAGAGAGAAGGGGAAAACCTTGGCCCAAATCCACTGCTCAGAGAATGTCTCAATAACACAAGCTTGTTGTTCTTCGTCGCTTCCATGCTGGTTGAAGGTCCGCTAGTGGAATACCTTGTGAAATTAACTCTATTTATAAGTTGAAGGTAAAATACTTCAAATCTCCATCAATATATTTATTATTTAGCAGGAGAGATCAAGCCTCTACATTAATATATTTATTATTTAAAATATATGCCTGTCACCAGAATCACAACAGCAACATTCCACAATTTGTTACAAAAATATGTAGTACATGGAAACTGATAATGTAGAAAATGGCAAAGAATTGAAAGAATTGAAGTACAAAAGAAAATAACTACAACAGCAATTTCAAATATTAAACATCATACAATGTGCCCATATTAAATTGTTGAGTTGAAGCATCTAAGAATGGTATTGGTGACAACCTGGTGGCCTAGCAAGTGGTTTTGGTGTCAAGTGAAACTTTTCATGGTTCCGAAGAACTTCACGGATTTCAGCAGGATGGAGCCAGCAGTGTTGTAATTCTTGCAGTATCTGCTCAAGGTCTACAAAAGTCCAAGATTTACATGTTAAAAAAAATTAAAGATTAAAAGAATATATCTTTTATGTGTTATTAAACCCTAACTTAGATCAATAAATGTGTTTAAACAATAAACATATATTTAATCATCAATAAATGTGTTTAAACAATAAACATATATTTAATCTATTGTACGAAAGGAATCATTGCTCTTTTCTTCGTTTTCATCATTTTTTTCTCTTTCATCAATACTAGCTAGCATCACCCAACACCACAACTTATAAGATATGAATTTTTTCTTTGTTTTGTAAACATATGTGTGTATTAAATTTTTACAAAATAATACAGAAGCACAGAAATTATTCTCAAATTTTTACAGAAAATTTTACTCCATTGATTCTAAATACTGAATAATACAGAAATTTTTACTGAATAATTGTTTCCCCTGGCAAATTATTCTCAAAATTTTCAGAATAATACAGAAGCACAGAAATTAAGGTTTTAAACCCACTCTTTTCATTGGTTTGTTTTTTATAAATTTCTCTCATTTTTGCAACATATGATTCTAAAACAGACCTGCAACATACAAAAGAAATCAACTGCACCTTCAAGGATCTATGAAATATCATCACCCTATTAAGAAATTGCGAAAACTAATCAACTAGTACAAATTGTGACTGCTTCTAATAACAACATTCACTGCAAAAAGGTCACTGAACAATGTATGATAACAAAATGCTTATAATGATGTGATAAGATCAAAAAAATGCACGATTCAGAGATTTTCTTATACTATGAACCCTAAAAATGAAAAACGCTTAATTATTGATGATTACTATAAACACTTCATTGAAATAGATTGATTGAACAAACACATGAATCTATACATGTATACAAAACCAAGCACGAAACTGAGACCTAAAATTGCGATATCAAACCAATTATACAGATACATACATGTATGTATATATATATATATAGGAAAATGTATGCTACCTGGTCAGAATCGTTACCAGAGAGTCGCCGGGAAATCGGAGAATCAAGGAGAGATGAGGCGGCAACGGAGTGATTGTGAGACCCTAACTTTTGTAAACCCTACTAGCTCCCTAAATTTTGACTTATTATAATAAAGCCCATAGTATGTCGATTATTCACAAATTAAACTGTAGAACCAAAAACGCATCATGGACGAACCCATACAAATCCTAATTGACCTTGGAAGCTTATAAATCACTTCTAACACTCTAATATTAATTATTTAACTCTTAAATTTTAGATTAATCACTCTAAACCTTAACTTCTGATTTTCACAGTTTTCGTTCGGTTATTTACCTTTAAATTTCAATGCAAGATAATACAAACCGAATTTTTTTTTAACACTAATTTATTAACTCTTCACTTGAAATAGATACTTTAATTGAGCCCAAGCCCTCACATTTTTATTAAATCACAAATTGACCACAAACAAGTATCATTATATATTTATATATACACTTGTACCCTAAATTTTTTTTTAACATTATATTTACAATTTCCAAGATTTGTACACAAAAAAATATATATATATAAAATAAGTCCCTCAAATCACCATTTATGGCCAGCCATACCTACATAGATATGATGAATGTACTTTTTGAGAGAATTTTGCATGATTTAAGGAAAAAAATTCTTTGACTTGGTACAAACTTTTATACATATATATGTGTGTGTGTATATGCAACTAGGTTGGTTTGATTAGGAGGAAAACCCTAACTAGATCACATTTAGGAACCTAATTAAGACCTTTAATCCTCCAATATTCCATTGAATGCAAACTAAATCCAAACAATCCAATCCAATTCCAACCAAGGGGCATTTAGGATCTTTTGCACCAAATTCATTATATAAAAAACCTTAGATAATATATTTCCTAATAAATCCTGTCTTTAATTGTTAATATATTCTCTGATGCTCACGATTTTTGGGGTGTCACAACTTGGTATCAGAGCCTAGGTTTAACTCTCATCCCACATAACTCGATTTGCAACTCTAGTTACTTTTTTTCATACACTAGTGTATTATTATAACACTATTATTTAAAAGTTAACTTAAAAGAAAAGTAATAACGGATTTCGTCTCCTTGACATAGGATGGCTAGTGACCCATCAAACGTCTGGTATTATAACCACTAGGGCTATTATCGTTTCCAAGAAGACCAACACATTGAACTCCTTGACCTACAAGTTTACGACCAATGGTGTAAAAGAACGAGGAAGGAAAAATTGATCAAGGAAGTAAGGAAAGTGGAGGAAGCACGCCCCTATCTTACCCCTGAACAAAAGAGAGCCGTAATTCAACGCCAACTCAAAAGTCAGTATCGGGCTCTCAAGAATGCACTTGAGCTTGAGAAAGATGACGAAAAATTTGTAGAAGCAATTTTCGTGGCAGTTCAGAATGGGCTTGGGTTTTTTCACATTCCATAATTCGGGTGTGGAACTTTTTATTCAGAGTTCATACTCAAACCAGAATCCCACCCAATTGGACCAACAGAGATTCCTCCAAAAGTCAAGAGCAGTAGGTGCGTCGGGTCGCCATTTCTCACACTAGGGCAAGAAGTTGACTCATTCCAAGACCTTGACCGATGTAGTAGCAACCAAGGTTAGAGTTGTAATCCGTAATCTCTAAACTGTTGTAAACGTATGTGTCAATACAGGTGTAGTACGATCTAGTATAACTCTAAGAATAGTAACAGGAAATGTGGCAGCCACACTTGTGCTATCAAGATGTAACCTTTTGTAATGAATCCTACTACCTTTTGTAATGACCTACTATTATATGTGAAGTACTATTGTGTTTTTCTCTAAATTTGTTATCTACTATTGGATCTTATTGTTTCAAACACCCTAGGATAACTTTAACTTAAGATTAGTTTTTTGGGTGAATAACTTAACATTAGTTGATTAGCCTTTTGCACCCATAATTAGACTCTGACTTATGCCTTGCTACGTACTATAAACAGAGAAATGGTGGACTACACTCAAGCCCAATGCAATAGGAAAATAGTGCTGAGAACTCAAAATTCTGAGAATAAACTAATGCACACTATTGAAATTGCGCATCTCGGGGTCAAATTTCGGAAGCATTAGGACACTTAAGAGGAAACAGACAAGATGATAGGATTCACTTCTTTTTAGAGTTTAGGGGATAAAAACCACCCAAGTTTATAGGAGTATTAGATTCAAGGATGGTAGGAAGTTAGCTTCATCAAATTGAGAAAATACTAGATACAGTGGGGGTAATAGAGCATGCTAACAGAATTACTCTAGCTGGATATGAACTAGGAGGGGAAGCAGACCATTGGTGGACCTTAATCAAGGAATCTAGGGACATCACAATGATGACATGGGCATAGTTTAGAAATCTATTCTTAAGAATGTATCTCTCGGACGCAATCAAACAGGAAAGGATTCGAGAATTTCTGAAGCTAGAGAAAGACACAACAACTCAATATGTAGTAAATGCTGAAAAAAAAGGTGCGAAGATTCGAGTGGGGCCTAGACCCTATAATCAGAGGAAGGGTCTTACCCCAACGACTCCAAATATATGATATAGTAGTAGACACTGCCTTAGATAGGGAAGTAGTTGACGCAAGGAGGATTTGGAACAAAAGGAAAGAGAGTCAATCATTTATAGGACCCCGGAGAAACCAAAAGGGAAATGTGGCACAAAAACCTTATTCCAGGTTGCCACCACAACAACCACAACAACAAATTTGAAGAAAAGTTTTCAGGAAAGACCAGTAGGGCTGATCCTGTGCTGTCATTGTCAACAGATGGGACATAGAGGGTTCGAATGTCCCCAGTAGGACAAAGATCAAGAAAAACACTTAAGACAACAACCACGGGTAATTAAGCCAGAGACTACTAAACAACAAAATTTCAAGGTGAATGATATTAGGAACTAAGCCAAATTAACACTTTATGATAAAGGAACACAAGGACAACAAAGGTGTAGTGAAGAATGGAAGAATATGATGAGGAAATGTTACAAGTGTGGCCAACTAGGACATTTTAAGAATAAGTGTCCTCAACTCGCTCAATCAGGTTATCAGGTAAAAAGAACAGGAGCAAACATGGAAGGGATTGGCGGTTAGAAGCCATGGACAAATATAAGAAGCTAGTCGACTATATCAGTGGGTAGGAAACAACAAGAGGCCTAGGCTCAACAATAGTTAGAGGCCAATCGGCAGAGCATTCACACTACAAGCAGAAGAAGGTCTCACCACGCCGCATCCAAAGGACAAGTAAGGTGCCGTAAGCAGACTTAAAGAACCGCAAAAGAGCTTAAGAAAAGTAAAACTAGGATAATAGTTAGGACCCTCTTTGAAGGACTTTTTGTAATTCGAGCATGAGGTGTAATTTCTCCTTAATTAATCGAAGTCTTGGTACTTTTACACTCGTCTTATAATTCTTAAGTACATGTTTTATCCATCACATCCTCTTAACTATGCTATATCAGACCATTAGAACTTGTATGTGGACCCTTAGAAATTGAATGTACGACAATTCTTGACTCCCGAAGAATGAAGATACACGACATCAACCTCATCCTAGAAATAGATTTGTTACTCGTACCTTAGTTATTATCGAAAGTTACCAAAAGAAGGAGACGACTTACCCATCCAACGGAATGCGTTAAGGGAGATAGATTAGTTTCCATGATTCAACAAATCAACAAACACAATGGCATCAACAATTACCAAAGGAAAGAGTAGATCACCACATCAAGAATTTGGCAATACAAGCCCTCACATTGGAACAACAACGCCATTACCCATATGATGAATAGTTCAAAGTTTTCAAAAAAATGCGAAAGATTAACGTATCTCCTTAGCCATTTGTAGACACCCCATTTTTGACCGTCCTCAAGGCTTGGACGTCACCATTCGAACACTCGGTGATTATCCATGCTCATGTTCGTCTTGAGTTCTCGGAGGTCTTGGCTACGCGCCTTGCCTTAGGATCTCTCGACTTGACTGTTTTGTGCTTGGTTGTGGACCAAACACTTTTGCTTTTGCTTCTAAGGGAAGAGGGTGGTTTGTTGGCCATCCCCTCAACCCATCGACCAAGGCTTGAGGTCACCGACCCTGTTTTGTTTCCATCAGCCAAGTGTATTGACCGATCGGCACTTTTTTTGGTCGGCTGGCCGTTGTGTTGGTCGATCGGCCATATTTTCTGGTCGACCCCTTTCTATCTGCTTTTGGCAAATATTTTGTGCCAGCTGGCATAGTTGGCACGCACAATTTCCCCCTCCATATATGTGTATGGAGGGATTTCAGCCTTGCTTAGCTTCTCCAAGAAGCTTTACAAGAGTGGATTTCTATAAGAGGGGAGGCCCTCCTCGCTTCTCAAGGGTTCAAAGATCTGAGATATACAAGTTAGATATAGCTCTCTCTCTATATCTCTTTCTCTCTAGATTTGTGTGTGTGTTTTTGCCCAAAAGTGTGTTTTGTTCATATTTTTGCACTAAAGCACCTAGTGTTACACTATCCTTGGTTGCTAAGGCACTAGAAGAGTTGATTCCAGAGTTTTTGAGCTAGTTTTGATCCAAGGAAGTTGCTGGAGTTGGTGTTCTTGAAGGTGTTCTTCAAAGGTGAGCAAACTACTTTAAATACCCCTTTCTTGCATGAGCTTTTAGTCTATCTTGTATATTTTTTTGAGCTTAGCTATAAGCTGTAAAAAGTTCTGATTCTGTATGCTTAAGATGATTGTTTAAGGTCACTTTTTGGTTGGGGGTTGTCTACCCCCTCTTAGGCCTTGTTTGGCCTTGTTTTGTGCCTTTCCTTTTATGCTTTGGAACCATCTCATTTTGACCTTCCCACCACTGAAATCCAGAGGATTTTCAGTGGTGGAAAAGTGGTTTTGAGGTCTTGAATAGGAGAGGGACACCCCCCTCTCCTTGTGTCTCACATGCTTGTGTTAAGGGCTTAGTATGGTAGCATATATGCTTAGTTTGTTTTAGTACCATTTCAGTAGGTATTTAGTGTTACTTTGTCATTTTATACCTCTATTTTGAGTTGGTTTAGACACATCATGCATGCTTCATGTACTTGTCTTGTAATCCCATGATTTGGCATAACGTGCATCATGTGGTGATATGCTATTTTAGCATGATTTTGGCTTAAATTCATGAAGCTTCTAGCC